TATATATATATATTCATGTGTGACTGCAGTTTCATTTGTGTGTCTTGGATTTCAGTTGAAATAACTGGCAAGCCTCGTATTTGGCTTTGACACTTCATGATGCTGACGTCTCAAAGGCCAGCTCATGTTCTGAGAAATGTATTCCATTTTTGTAAGATCTGTGAACTAATTTTTTTTTCAAATTGCTTTGTATGTTAATGGCGTCTAAATAAAACAACCAATAACACACATTTTTCTTGGTTGGTAGTTGTTCTTTGTAAATAAAATCTTCATATTGTCTTGTGTCTTGAGACTTAATGTTATGATGTATATGACGTGCAAGAACAAGGTTTCTTTAGGCCTGGGTTTCTCCTGGTGGTACACTGGTAGCAGCAACACAGTCAAACCTCATTATACCGCCACCTTAGGGACCTTTGGAACGAGCATGAACAGCGGGGCTGGCAGTTCTACGGGTTCCTCTGTTGTATAGCCCCGACTGCCCGTCAAGGAACACAGTTCTTCTGTGCAATCTATGTTTGAAGTTGAAGTGTCTTTTTGTTAGCAATATATATGTAGTACAGTGGAGTCCACTTATAGCGAGTCCTGAAATAACGAGAAGTCTGTTATAAAGACACTTTTTAAAAACCCTGTTTTTTCCCTTCATTACCTTTGTAAATAAAATACTGCCATAGCGCAATCAGACAAACACACGAGTCGGTTATAGCGGAATATTGCTGCTGCTGTGCTCAACGCATAGGTCATTTATACGTATAAGTAAAACCTCGCAAGTTGAGAAACTTGTTGGTGATCTAGCGAAACAAAGGATGGGAGAGCCCACAATGAAGGCCGCAGCGAATGAGTGGGGAGGGTATGGAATGCTCAGACAAGCAGATCGCATCGCTTGATAGGCCAGTAGTCTAGATTATCCAGCCTACCATGCCTCTCACTTCTCCGATGTTGGGATGGAGAGGTTACAGTGCTGTGATGATGGAACGAATGTTCGACATGCGCAAACAGATGGAACGCACCAAAGGGTGTGGTGGGGTGGGAGGACAACACAGCGGGCGAGTACTGTAAGCCTAGAGCCCTTTCTTTCTGATCGCCAACACCGAGCTGTCAACGTCACTAGCGCTAGAGAAAGAAACCTGATACAATTTTTGATCAAGTAAGACCTAAAAGTCATGCTGAACAAAATCATGAGAGGAGATAAAAAAGAGAAATAAACAAAACACCAAACTCATAGATTAAGCCTACTTTTCTATTTCCCTTGAATTTATTACTGGATCCCTTATAATGAGAATCCTGTTATAACAGACATTTTGCACCAGCCTCTCGTTATTACAGGATTCCAATGTACACGCACATGCTGAATTTATTCAGAGCCGAGAGTCTTCTCTCTCTTTATCTTCATGTCTTTCTTGTGGGAAAAAGATATCAAGTAGCCAATCAGTGGGTGTTATGCACCGTGTGCAGTGTGTACCACTGGCGGTCAGCTGGTTGATGGTATGGTGGGGCAAACTTACATTACTGTGGTTGAATTCAAGAAACATGTATGCCACATTTTTGCTTTTTCCATGGCCGAAGATCTTTCCCCGTCATATATCTTTTGTATGTGAGGATGGAACTGTAAATAATTTGTTTACAGTCCAATCCTCACATCGAAAAGATTGTGACAAAGAGAGATCTGCGGCCACATAAATGCAAAAATATCTATCTTAGAAAAATGTGGCAAACAGATTTCTGGAATTGAACCATCGATTAGTTAAAAACCTTGCTGTAAGTGGAGTTAGTACACAGTATAATGGGGGGAGGTGGGATAGGGGCAGTACAACTAGAGTTGACTGTACTACTGTACTCGCAGTAATATGAATATGATCATAGCCCCCTTTCCTATTCACCATCAAGTAGGATCTTGTATCCTGGGCAAACACACTTTCCCTAATTTTTGCCCCTTCACATAGCTTCAAATGGGCACTATGTAAAGTGTTGATGTGTGCATCAATATGATTATTAAGTCTGAACTAGTGATAGATAACAAATAACATGACAGACAAGTGAAAAAAAAAAATTGAAATTGTGATTTCCTCTCACAAAGCTTTTCACCATATTCTGTACCTTTTCTTTTAGTAGAGTGCATTATAATTGTCGGCCCAGCGGAGCTCCCTGACTTGTGATCATTTGGCTTAATAAACTTAATGTCTTAATTGGCGCAGAGGTGACTTCGCTAGTGTCTGTTACGGTCGAAGGTCACATTTTGTCACCCTTTGTAATTATATAACTTCCTTTCCATCCCACACAGCAAAGCATTACTCAACTGTGATGTTCCGAAAACTCAATGTTGTGTTTGAAATATCTTGGTTATAACTTTGTATCAAAATATTTCTCAACACGTTATGTGGGAATTTATGGCCACACTCTATTTCTTAGCTTTAAGTTATTTTTACTTTTTTTCTGATTTTCTCAAAGTATTCCATTCAAGGATTAAAAATATTCTGTTTTGGGAATTATTATAAGTTACATAATCGCAGAAATGGCAAATTAGAGTGAAACTGGGCTATCTGAAGGACCATTTTCAAAACCTGAAAACTCAAAAAACCATCCATGTTAATTGTTATTATTGCTATCTCTATCTATGAACTAATTACATATTATATTTGTAATCTGCACACTAATCTTAAGAAAATGACGTTAGCCTTTGTTGAAATTGTACATAGCTATGAATAACTTTATTTC